GGCGGCCGCCGTCGGCGCCGCCGCCGGCACTGTCGCCGGCCCCGGCGGGGCCGGGCCCCGGTCGCTGGAGACGCAGGCGCTGCTGCGGGACCTGGCTAGGGAGGCGAGCGCGGCGGCGGGGGAGACGGCGCAGGACATTGAGACGCCGTTTGAGCGGCGGGCGCTGGAGGTGCTGGGTGACGCAATCAACATGGGCCTGCTGCCCTCGTTCACGGTGGGTGCGGGGGTTGAGGGGGGCGGCGAGCCGCGCCGGCGCGACACAGAGGGGCGGCGCGCCGGGGGCGAGGAGAGGTGGTAGAGAGGGGAGCCGCAGCGCGACCGCCCGCAGCCGGCGCAGGTCCACCGCAGCCCCCGCCACCCCTCACTGCCGCACTCCAGGACACCCGGGCCCTTCCCACTGCTGCAACCCTTCTCACTCACACTACAACACACACGCTCGCCCCTCCATCCCTCGCAGCTCGACGCACCCTGCCAGGTCGACCTGCGGGCGCTGCCGCCGAGCGTGGCGGAGGTGTACGTGCTGCACCTGCTGGCGGCGGTGGAGGCGCGCGCGTCGAGCCCCAACAAGCGCCCCTTTGTCCACCGCATCAAGGTGCGCCATCGGGGGCGGAGGGAGGGGTGCTTGCGGCGGAGGGCGGGCAGCAGCAGCAGCAGCAGCAGCAGCAGAAGGAGCACCGCCATCTGGGCTCAGTGTGAGGAGCAAAGCCTAATTTGGCTCCAAAACCAGTGCCAGGCGTCCGCGCAGCCTATCAACAACAAGCGCACACACCCCCGTCCCTTTTTCCTCCCTTGAACACACACTTGCATACACACGCGTGCATGCATGCATGCATGCAAATACACACACACACACACACACACACACACACGCATACGCATACGCATACGCACACACACAACTACACACGCGCGGGCGCGCACACACACACACACACACACACACACACACACACACACACACACACACACACACACACACACAACAAACTCACTGCGCCCGAACAGCTCGTCCTTACCCACCACCTCACCCCACCCCCCCTCTCCCCCCAAAAACCTTCCCAGGTCCTGGTCCCGCCGTTCGACCCCAACTACACTATGTGGCCAAACTATGTGGAGAAGCTGCACCTGCACTATGCGGACGAGCTGCTGGAGCGGCAGGCGCGCCTCAGGGCGGAGGCGGCGCTGCTGCGGCGCGCGGGCGGCGGCGGGGAGGGCGGCCTGGAGGACAGCGAGGACGAGGAGGCAGCGGCGGCGCACGCGCCTGGTGGGTGGGGTGCGGCGGCGCTGCGGGGCTGGGCGTGGGGCCGAGGGGCTTGCGCCGGCTGGGGCATCGGGCAGGAAGGGGATGCGGTTGCGGCAGCGTGCATGCGTCAGGTGGAGGAGGGCCGCGCAGCCAAAGCGCGCACGCGGTTGCGCGAGCCGCTGCCTTTCATTGGCACGGCGCCCGTGCAATGCCTTGGAGCCTCCTAAGGCGTGACCGCGCTCCAAGCCCCGCGCCGGCGCCCTCTCAACTGTCGTCGCCGCCCCTCCGCCTCCCGCAGAGCGCGGCGCGTCCCCGCAGTCGATGAGCAGCTACGAGTGGGACACCGACGACGAATCCTTCGACGCCCGCGTGGCCGCCGCCCGCACGCGCCTCGCCGCCGCGGCCTCCGCCGCCCCGCCCGCGCGGGGCGCCGGGC